CTCCACAAATTGTACTCCAAACTAAAAATAATCAAAGAATGTCTAAGTTTAAGATAATAATTCTTGAATTAGCTAGTAGGCTGAACAAGTCTAAGAACCTGAAGGTTAAAGTACAACAACTCAAAGGTTAACATAGAACCCGAAGGTTAAAGATCAGGAACCCGAAGGTTAGGATGGAACTCGAAGGTTAAAGTTCAAGAAACCGAAGGTTTTTTAATTATTTTTTTACAGTACAACTCCCAGATTTGATTCAGATCTGAAAACAAAGAGGGAGGGGGGACAGAGGAGTATCGGCGGGGCGTGAGTGAAGTGTTAGACCCTAGAGGGGGGGGGGTGATTGAGGCTTATGCTAATCTAATCCGATTAAATGGCAATTAAAAACAATTAATACGTTATCCTAGCAAGTATAAAATACAACAAGATATGTGAGCTAGGATAACAATATGAACAAGGGATATATCCTAGCAATGAGATATACTATGAGTTATATGCAAGATATGAAACTAATGGTGATACAAACATAAATAAGATAAACAAGATAGTGGATAATATGAACTAAGAGTAAATGACAAAGGCGATATAAGATATGAGCATGAATATAAATGAACGCAAAGCACACTCAAACACACTATATGATCAGCGAGTTCGGACCTTCCGTCCTACGTCTCGCGCTCCCACTCCCGGGGAGAATCCACTAACACAATCCGGTTTGGAAGCGCGGAACTTCTTCTACACACTCGGTTTTCTAGCTAACCGAAAACTCTACAACTCACACTCTTGCAATCACACTCTACACCCACTAAGTGTTGACCTAGCCGTGTCTCCTCCAAGTGCTCGTTACAACTCTCCCTAGGCACGTCAACCGACGCCACTCCTCTGGGACGATCCCCGACTCTCACCACACACTCCTCACTCGGTACAAGTGTATTACAAAGTGATTCTCACAATAAGCACAAAATATGACAAATGATTGTTCTCAACAAGCGTGAGAACTCAATTAAGCACAACTCTAAGTCACTAATCTCACAACCCAAAATTATACTATGAATGTAAATACAATAAGCTCAATAGGTTGTGTGTGAACAAAGAGTATCAATAAAACGATTAAACTCATATAGAAATCTAGCTTATAGAAATTAAGATCAAAACATAAATAGCTAGAATTGAGTTTAAGGGAACTTCTCTATAGATCAAGAGTGAAAGAGATGAGTTGAATGCCCAAACACCAAAGGATGATCTCCTCTTTGCTCTTGTGAAATTTGCTTCACAAACTAAAACCCTCAATTGCTTAAAAGCTTTTTAAACCAAACTTAAACAAACATTAAACAAAGTTTAAAACCCTTGTTAAACTATTTAAAACATCTCTTGTTAATTTGAAAGATGACAGGAAATGGGTATTTATACCCTCTCAAACTCCAGCAGCAAAAACCCCCAAAACAAATGACAAAACAGCCCCCAGAGAAACAGCTCAGAAATAGCCGTTAGAAGTCCAACGGTCATATTGTCGGTCGACCGAAAATCCCGTCGGTCGACAGATGAGAGCAAAAACACGAAGAAAACTTTCTGGACTAACGTCGGTCGACCAGAAATTCTGTCAGTCGACCGATTTGAGCTCTCGGTCGACCGGACCGGTCGACCGACGATTCTCTGGAAAAATACTGACGAATGGTCAATTGACCGATCGACCGTACCGGTCGACCGTACCGGTCGACCGAAAACTGACATTCCAGAAAAAATCGGTTTTAGAGCTGATTTTAAAACACTGTTTAAAAATATCAAATAAATTCAGAAAAATGTAAAACTTTGGGGAAGAAAATTCGTCGGTCGACCGAAAATTTTCATCGGTCGACCGGACCGGTCGACCGACAGGCTTTCTGTCGCCCAGTGAACTTTTGACCTCAGGTTCGGTCGACCGGTGCGGTCGACCGAAATCTGACATATTCAAAAATTGTTTTGCTGATTTTAAAACGCTGTTTAAAAATATCAAATAAATTCCAAAAAATGTAAAACTTTGGGGAATGATTGTAGACATGATAATAAACATGCTACAATGACTGGTTATGAAAAAGGACTTCCCAAATGAAAAATATCATCATTTTACAAAATAGTCCAAAACATGAAAATATGAGATACTTGAATTTTGATGTTTTGACATAAACCAACTTTTGAAACTTTGTGAAATGTTTTTATAGACTTAGTAAAACATGTATAAACTGATATTGAAGTCTATAAACTAAGAATACAGTATTTTCACAAATACAATAGAAAATGAAACCTATGAGTATGTATATGAAAATATATTTGTTTCATATCTAAGTAGATAAACCAAATCACAATATGAAACATGTAATTTCATATTTATAAACATGAAAACCAAAACTTGTGTTGTATATATATGTGACTACATATATATACAAGGAAACTAATAAAATGTGTGTGTATAGATAATTGAGCTTAGAGTACTTAACACACATAATATAAACCTATACTAGATTACCCAAGCCGATCTTGATCTTCAATAAGCTTGACTTGGTACACTTTATGGATGAAGCTTGAACTTGGATCTTGAATTTTGAATAGCAAGACTTCACCGACATTCCGCCAACCTCCTTTGGATATGATCGTTGAAGCTCTATTCCATCCATCCTCCAACAACGTTGTTTGTCTACAATAAATACGAAAATACAAACACTAGACAAACAACATTAGTAGTAAATTGTTTGTAAAGATCTGGACGAAGACGGTGGGAATTAGGGTTAGGGTTAGGGTTAGGCTTAGGAAGTTGGATTACTATTAGGGTTAGGGTTAGGCTTAGGAAGTTGGATTATTATTAGGGTTAGGGTTAGGGATAAACTCTAATATCATGTTAAGATTTGAAGAGAAAATAGTTTATTAGAGTGTCTTCTCCTCACTCTATACTTAGTTATTTATAGAGATGAGTTAGTTACAAGTTAGTCTCACAAGTAATGTGGGACTAAACCAATGCTACACTAATACTCTCTTCTAACAGTATCTTTATATATGAGCCATATAGAGGAACTTTGTACCAAGAATAAGTTTGTGTGCTTGGTAGTGACGTGGTTCAGTGTCAATCACTCATTCAAATAAGGGACCATATTCACATGAGTTAGAGAGGGGATGAGAATGAAACACTTCACTACAAAGTACAGAATTTATTAGCAAGTAAGGGCACAAACGGTTCGGATATGGCTTGGATATGATACTTACCATATTTGTATCTGATTACATATGTATATGCTTGGTAAGGAAAATTCATATCCATATCCACTAAAAACGGATATGGATATATATATATATATATGAGATTAATGTGTATCCTTGTCATAGGAGGAGATTTCCCTCCTTATCGCCTATGTGGCATAATCCCCACCATCCTCATAAAGTAGGCACAAATCCCACCAACTCACACTCCCTCTCTTACTTTATGAGGATGGTGGGGATTGTGCCACATAGGCGTCAAGGAGTAAATCCCCTCCTATAAGACCATCTCCAATGACCAACAATCTTAACAATTTTTTGATGCAATGACAAGGCAAGTAGGAAGGCATTTGAAAAGGAGGGGAGAGAAAGTGAGGAGAAAGGCAAAATTTGCCTTCCTGTTAACTTTCAAAATGGGCCCCACATGTCATAAACTTTTTATAATTATTCTCACCTTGTTTTTAAATGACTTTTTTGATCAATAATTATTTAAAATTAATTTTTTATTTTTTCACCACTATTTATTATTTTTCAAGATCTATAAATAGAGATTATGTTTGTATTTTTTGGACACCAAAAAAAATTTAAATTTTTGCTTAGTTATCATAGTTGAGTGATGTGAAGGAAAGATAAAGTGAAAAAACTTTTTGAAAAACTAGTTGTTGTGAAGTTGAAAGGCAATTGAAAAAGGCAAGTGATGTGGAGGGAGAATAAAGTGAGGTGGAAGGAGAGAGAAAGGTAATATTTGCCTTGCCATTGGAGATGGTCCCAGAATAAACAAGAAGTATTTTGTTTCTTGCAACGCAAGGGTCAACAACTAATATAAAGATTACATTAATTTGACGTGTCAAGATTAAGAAACTACCCTCTGCTCCATGTTAAGGGGGTATTTGTTTCAAAAAAAAAAAAATTGGCATTTGGGGTGGGATTTTAAATTCTAGGATCAAAAAGTGGATTTTTTAGAGTTTTGGAATTCCATATACTTTGTTTGCTTCAAAATAAATTTTAGAATATTGAATCCTCAAATACTTTTTAACTAATATTTTTTGGCATTTGTAAAATCCCACATTTTATAGAGGATGTGGGCTGGATCTCTGACAAAACACATCCACCTCAGCTCCTTATCCTGAAGACCGATCCCAATTGTCATATGTGTATATCGACTAATAGAAAGACACAGACACACACTCACACACAATGGAGGATGGGAGTTGTGTTAATTTTGTTTCCATTATATTTATTAGAAAGATCATATATATACCAACTTGTACATGCATATATTTCTAACCTTAACTTTCTAATATGTTCTCATTTGAAAATGTTCAGAAGTGTTTTTAGCTTTCTTTAGTCTTTCAATAACCACTAAATTTTTTCAATCTTTAGTGGAACATAAAGTTATTTCCATGCTGTATGGGCTATCAACAGGAGTAGAAATAAAATATGTCAAATTAGCTAACAGAGGTAACATTTATGGAAATAAACACAAAAGAAAATCATTTTGTTATGTTTAAGTGACAAACATAAAAAGGTGTGGAGGGGAAGCAGCGGGGGTTGGGATAAAAGATGTCTGATTATTTAACAAAGGTATCATGCCGGAAATTAACACAAAAGTAAAAAAGTTATCTTTAGAGGACAAGCGTAGAGTGATATTTTATAATTTATTCTGAAAAGTATTGGATAAGTTTGATGGTACTGTTTGTTAACTAATTTGCAAAAAAAGTTTATTTCCTCCCACAAAGTACATATCAGTTGAGAATAAATTTGTTGTTCATGATGTTTTAGGAGTTACAGATCCTTTTCAACCCCAAGTACAACACTCTGGGACACGCATAGCCAATATATTTTAACAGCAGTTATAAATCACGATATGGATACATAAATACATAAGGAAATTCATAAGTAAATTCGACATGATAGCACTCAAAAAAAAAAAAAAGCATAAGTAAATTCGAAATGATAGCACGCATCAGCAAGAGAAGCAAATTTAGACAAACATACAACTACTTTGGGGGTTCATCCTCCTCGAAGATGGCCTTGAGTTTGGACCTGATTGTGTTGTCGTCTTCCGACCATTCTAAATTGTTCCACCATGCTTTGCTACCCTTGATGCATTTCAGCTTACGCGCATTTAATGGAAGTGTCTTCAGCTTGGGACAGTTACTGATGTGGAGCTCATTCAAGGAAGGGAATGCCAGTAGTCTTCTCCCACAGCTTAGGGTCTCAATCTCTGGCATGTTAAAGAGAGACAAGATTGTGAGCTGTGGCAAAACATCAATCTCTTTGGTCTTCTCTTCTTCTTCTTCCTCCTCCTCCTCGTAGTGTATTAGCTGTCTCATCTCTTTGCAATCTTCAATGTGTAGATAGCTAAGGCAATCGAGACACCCACTTCTCCAAAGAATTTTGGCTCTTGGAAGCTCAAATAGGTAGACTTCTGTCAAGCACGGCAATCTGGAGAGTTCAAAGTCATCACCTTTAGCGATTTCCAACTCCTCCAGGTCGCTGCAACGATAGAGACGAAGGTCTTTAAGAGCTCTGTAGTCTCTCCCCAGGTCTGCAGTTGAAAGTTTTGACAGACCTGGGGAGATGCTTATTTCAAGATAACGTGTGGAATCAGCCAATTTGTGAGATTGAGCAAGCTTTCCCAAGGCGAGGACATTATTAATGCTGATTCCAAGCGCTTTCAACTTCTCCAAACTCTGAAGCTCTTCCAACTCCAGCCCATCCCCATCCGTCTCCGCATTCCAATTGTTGTAACTGTTGTACATCCTCAAAACTCGCAATTCATAGAGTTTTCTTATTAATCCTTTAGGAATTTTGGTCAGGTTGGGCGTGCGAGACAACAGTAAGAACCTCAACTTTTTCAAACACCCCAATTCTTCTGGTAGCGAACGGATTTTAGTGTTGTAGAAATCAAGGTACCGGAGCTCCAGCAGCCGCCCGATTTCAGCTGGAACTTCCTCAATAAGACTGTGTGATAGGTCTAGCACCTTCAGATTTGGCATGGCTAGGAAGAAGCCGTTACTTATCTTAGCTAATCCCTGATTCAGCCACATCGAGAAGGTTATCAGAGATGGGCAGTCTGGTATCTGAGTCAGCTCAGTTATCTCATTTCCTGCGAGTGAAATTCGTTCTGCTCCTCTCCACTTCTCAGCACTGGGTTGGGATTTCAGCTGTTTATTTACTTCCACCAGCCACTTGTTCTCTTCATTTCCACGTCCTCCAGCTATCCACAGGGCCATGGAACGAATCACAGGGTGCATCCTGACGGTGTCCATGTCATCATGATCGTAACTCTCTAACAGTGATCTAGACTTCAGGACACCAAGTAAACTGCGACCCTCATCGTAGATCTGATCCCCATCACGGCGAAGATCATCTATGACCCCTTCTCCTATGCAGTAGTCAATGATCCATTCCTTATAAACCCTGTCAGTTCCTGGAATCAAGAGAATATACAATAAACACTTTCCCAGTCTATCGTCAGCAAGCTCGTCAAAACTACGCGCCAAAGAAGAAAGAACCCCAGGGCCTAGAATCTCCTGAGGTGAAGAATCTAGTTGTTCGATTTTATGCTTCCATGATTGAGGATCCTCCTTGTCGGCCATAGCACGTCCAACCGTTACGAGGGCAAGTGGCAGACCCCCACATTTTCCCACTAGTGCCTTAGCATGACGCTCGACCATTCTGTGAGAATTGATGAGTCCCTCGCCTGCCTCCTCTGTAAACAGACTCCAAGCTTCATCGAACTTTAAGCATTTGACTTGGATCTTGGCTCTTGCTGCGCCCATTCTGTTACATACACTTTCTATTCGTGTCGTCAGTATGACCTTGGACTTGCTTTGCCGTGGGTTTGGGATCCCAACATCATCGAGATTCACTTCTTCCCACATACCATCCAAAATTAGCACGTAACTTTTCTTGTTTAGGCACTGAAATATGGGGTGAGCTCGTACCTCCTGCTGTTCATTTTCATTCCAACGCACTTCTAACTTCGCTGCAATAGCCCTTTGAGAATCTTGTACACTGTGACAAGCATTCATATCGATCCAAATCATGTCATGAGTATCCTTAAGATGGGTCTCATTATAGAATTTATTAAGGAGTTCCGTCTTTCCGACCCCGCCCATCCCGTAGATCCCAATGATGCTCACGTCATCATCACCAGCAAGTTCTTGAAGCCTCTGAAACTCTCGCTCCCTTCCCACCATGGCTCTGCCTGACCTTTCCACATAGCTATTTGCTTCCAGCTTTGTGGCGACATCCAGGGGTACCGCGTCCTTCAAATACTTGAAATCATCAATCATCTTTATCGCTTCTCTACCAAACGTGTAAGTGTCCGAAACATTTGATGATCTGTCACTCTGACCACTAAAAGTTACACGGAATCTGTCCTGCGTTTGTGTCGCTTCACCTGTTAAAAACAGCAAGGACGGAGTTAGCATATGCTTATATGGAGAAAAGAAGCAAACTCTATTATGTTTCCAAGATGGATATGTCCCTTTTTCGAAAGATTGTGACATCTTAGTCATAAAAACCATTTAATTTTCTTTACGTGTGTGTGTTGTAGGACGACTTTATGCTTCCTAGGACATAACCAGTTTATTTTGTTAGGATACATGCCAACAAGAACGTCTCGAACAAAGACGCAATACACACCCAAACGAATGTGGAATCACAGAATAAAATCAGCAGATACAAATTCAATTATAGTACTCACAGATATAACGGAGTTCACTCTTACGGAGCTACCTCATGGTGCAACGATGCCGCCTAATTCTTTTATATTCCTTTCCGAGGTTACAAAGAAAAGATCAAAGAGAAAACCCTCTCTTGATCAAGATACTCTCCAAGTATTATCATAAACTCTCTCTATATTTTCTCTCTCACTCTTCTATAAGATAAGTTGTTTCTGAGATGATTTTTTTGAAGAGTTTTAGGCCTAATTATAGTGATAGGAAAAACACTATACACTAATTTTATACTATTTTTTCTTTGATGGGGCCCACCACTTTATTTGTTTCAAACTCTTCCTAACTCTACCCAAAAATCGGCGCCTAACACACGTCCCTTTCGACACCTAACACACGTCCCTTTCAACAATCTCTTACTTGAAAATTTGATTGAGTATTAATCATATCTTCACACTATTTTTTGTTGCATCATCCGGATGTCTTATATCTTTGACGTCTTGCACGACCCTCAACAATCTCAACGGAGGCCATATGGGGCTACACTCAGCCTCACTTTCTCGAGCGGAACTGTCTTGGTCAGCATATCAGCTGGATTATACCTCGTATCAATCTTCACAAGATTGAATTCGTTCATGCTTTGCCATCTCCGTATGGCATGATGCTTCACGTCAACATGCTTGGTCCAAGTATGGAATTAATTGTTCTCTAACAAGTGAATGACACTCTGACTATCGTAGTGGATGAAGAATTTCTCAAAGCTTACCCCAAGCTCGAGAAGAAAATCTTTCAACCATAGCAACTTCTTTGCTGCCTCTGCTGCAGACACGTACACGGCTTCGGTTGTCGACATAGCCACAGTATCATGTAACTTGGATCTCTAACTTATTGCTCCACCACCCAGGATGAAGATGTAGCCGCTCGTGCTCCTTCTTGAGTCTATGTTCCCGGCGTAGTCTGCATCACAAAAGCTCTCTAGCTGTAAATCCGCCCCATCATACTCATAATAATGGTCAGACGAACATCTCAAATAGCGTAGAAGCCACTTGACCGCACCTTAGTGGTGCTTCCCCGGATTGCTCGTGAGGCGGCTTACAACTCCCACGCCTTGTGTAACATCTGGCCTCGTGCACACTATCACATACATCAAACTCCCTGAGACAGATGCGTATGGTATGTTGGCCATAAACTCATGCTTTTCACCAGTCTCTGGTGCTTGGGTCTTTGATAGCTTGAAATGGCTCGCAAACGGTGAGCCCACAGGTTTAGCTTTTTCCATGCTAAACTTTTTAAGAATCTTCTCAATGTAGGCCTTCTAAGACAACCTCAGCCTCAGCGTTGATTTGTCCCTGATGATTCTCATCCTAAGAATCTAGTTTGCTAGATCCAAATCCTTCATCTCGAAGCACTCGGAGAGACATCCCTTGAGTTTCTTAATGCGGGCCAAGTCTGACCCCTACAATCAATATGTTATCAACATAAATCAAAGAGTATCACATAGGATTCGCCATACCTCTTGATGAAGCAGCAGTGGTCTGTGTCTCATTTGAGAAAACCGGTCTCCACCATAAAGTTCTCGAACTTTATGTACCATTATCGCGGAGCTTACTTCAGGCCATACAAGCTCTTGCGTAGGCGACACACGAGGCCTTCCCTGCCTCGTTCCTCGAAGCCCGCTGGTTGATGCATATAGATCTCTTCCTCCAAATCTCCATGAAGGAATATCATCTTCACATCCATCTACTCTAGACAGAGATCTCGAACTACCACAATGCTCAGCACAGTCCGGATCGTGATTAACTTGACGGCGGGAACGAAAATGTCAGAATAGTATATACTTTTAGGTCTTATGGTTATGAGCCTATTGTATAATCTGGTTTTGATGATTAACAAATAATTTCTAATATCACATTTCAAGTATTTACATTTGCTTGTTAGGTATCCTACACAAATATCTTAGTTGGAGGTTGGATGGACTTGACGTTAACGATAACATTCATGGAGGTTGGAGAAAATCGGAATAAAGCCTTTGCACATTCAAGTCAAGACACACTATCGCTTCATCCCCGCTACCAAGATCGAGCTTAACGAAGAATCTTAGCTTGGTATAGTGTTTATTAGTTTAGGTGTTCTACTTTATGTGTTTATACTTAAAGCTCAAACCATACACATACACGTTTCGTTTTATTGCTTTATCTCGATTTATCGTATTATACATCTATTTGAGAATATGACGTGTTTTTGGATTATTGACTTAATAGAACTATTTTACATCTTTTCTAAAGTCTATTTATCTAGGTGAAAAGAATCTCAAAACTTGTTTGAAAAAAATTCATCAAAATCAAGTACTTAACAAACTAGTATTTTTGACGGGTTAGCAAAACAATGAGTTTTCACAAATGTGAAGTGCTATTTTAGAAATTTCTTCTCTAACATGTTTATTCTCATGTGTATAAATGTTTTCTCAAGTTTTACTATTTTCGGAGTTGATTTACTATTTTAAATTAAATTTAGAAAAACCTTTTAGTTTTTCATATATCTACTGTGCATGTTTTTCGGTCGACGAACTAGAAGCAATTTTTACATCTTTCCTTTTATAGTCTATCAATCAATCGCCATAATATAAAATCAATTGACCGAACATAGTGTTTTCAGTTGACTAATCTTGCTTTTCAGTTGACTGAGTCATGACTGTCAATTTTCTTTACAGTAACGGCAAGTTGATCAGTCCACCGCTAAAAGCAACCAATTGACTGATCTGCTCATATTACTGTAACGACTAGTTTTTGGCAGATTTGTTTAAGAGGCTATAAATAGCTCTCAAGACTTATTTTTCAAAAGAAGTTTTTAAAGATAGTTTAGCCATTTTGGCTGCAAGTTTTTTGAGAAAAAGAAGTATGTTTGTTTATGAGAAAAAGAGCTTTACAAGTGAAGAATCCTCATTTTCGGTTTTGAAGCATTCATCGTCAAATCTTAATCTCTCCTTTGTTTTTGGAGAAGTTTTTCTAAACTCATTCTCTAGCTGATCTTATATTTTGATTCTCGTATATAAGCTAGATTTAATTGAGTTTGATTTTGTTTTACTCATTGTTACACACACAACCACTTGAGCTTAAGAATTTCACATTTAGTATAACCGGTTTGTGAGAATGTTTTCATTGAGAGAGCTTTACATTTAGTTATCATTTGTATTAGAGAACAAATTCTTTATTTGCACTTATTGTTGAAACATGTTGTAATATAAAATAATACTTAGAGGAGTAGTTAGGAGAGACCGAGGTCAATTCAAAGAGGAGTGAGTTGGTTGTAAATTTTAGGGAGAGGTTATAATTCTAAACACTTGAGGAATGTGACACGGGTAGTCCAATACTTAGAGGAGTGTTGCTTGAGAGATTGACAATCGTGTCAATTATAAAAGTTATTAGTGATATTTGAAAACCGTTTGTGTAATTTTTGAGATATAGTGGAGATCTCCTCAAGGTGAGGAGCGGAGACGTAGGTCGATGGTTGACCGAACTCTGTGATCATATCTTGTGTTTACGTTTGGTTTTGACGTACTATTCTTGTACTTATTTTATATCGCCTATTGTCTCATAATTTATCACATATTATCTCATTGCTTATCCTTGCATATCTTTCTTGCATATCATATTGCTAGAATATTGCATTCTAAGTATTTGGCATCAAAATTAGATTAGATTAGCAATTATCCTATTCACCCCCCCCCTCCTAGGGTTCTTTCACATCACTGCTTCTTCTCATAGCCATTCACTACAAGCCTCGCCTTGTAGAGTGTCCATCCATTAGCTTCATCCTTGACCTGATAAATCCACCGATTATGAAGAGCCTTTCACCTTCTTGGAAGCTTTACGAGCTCCCTAGTCCCATTATTTGTCAATAATTTTATTTCTTCCTCCATGGCAGACTTCCACTCAACTTGAGCTTTGTCGGTCTGTTGTACATCCTCATAGCTCTCTGGCTCACCAGTGTCAGTCAGGAGAAGATAATTCAAAGTGGAAAGGTACTTCACCTTGATTTTTCTCCCTAATTTTCTCCTTAATTCCCTCAAAAGTCCCCTCCTCAAATTCTGTAAACCCCTCCTCATTTTCCGCTTGATGTTTCCCCCTGATTCCCTCAAAAGTCCCCCTCTCTCACTCTCATTCTCTCTCTCTCTCTCTCTCTCTCTCTCTCACTAATATGCTCTCTCTCTCTCTCACTAATATGCTCTCTCTCTCTCTCTCTCTCTCTCTCTCTCTCTCTCTCTCTCTCTCCCTCTCCCTCTCTCCCTCAATACCGTTCTCTCTCTTCCTCTCTCTCTCCATCACAAACACCACCAAACCCATCAGATCCGACCACCCGAACCCAGCTCGTCGTCTACCCAAC